CTCCTTGGAAAAGTAGGCACTGCCCTTTGACTCCTGCTCTCATTGTTTCTCTCAACCATCCTCATTGCTTGTGCTTTCTGGACCACATGCTGTGTGAGTCATTCCTGGGATGGAAGCTTTTGAACTGAAGAGGTACTTGTGAATATCAGATGTGTGGTAACATCAGATGCCCTTCTCCCTATTGACTGCTATGTGGCTAAAGCAGGGATATGGGCTGTGTGTGTGTGATATGTGTTTGCTCTTTCTGCTCCCCCTGGCACTTTGCACAGTTGGCTTGGTATGCATGGCCCTGGGGATTTGAACTCAGATCTTCATGCTTGCACAGCAAGCGATCTCACCCATTCAGTCATCTCCTTAGTCCTCAGGCTTCTTAAAAAAATATTTTAAGCCAGGCTTGGTGGCACTTGCCTTTAATCCTAGCACTCAGGAGGCAGAGACACGCAGAGGCCAGCCTGTTCTTTTTAGGACAGCCAGGGCTACATAGAGAAACTCTGTCTCTAAAAATCACACACACACACACACACACACACAAGATTTAAAATGTTGAATTAGTACTGTTCTGGGCCTTCTACTCTAGTTCATGACTACTGTTCACGCAAATAAGTTTTCAAGCGTCTGCTTGTATAACAGAAGATCCCATGAGGGCTGCTTGTCTGGAAACATGTAGAGCAATTACTCACCACTTGAAGATGCACACAACAGAGGGGACTTTATGCTGCACTATACGGAAGTGAGACCTGCTTGTTAAACGGTGCCCTAGCATACCAACACACCAATGACCTTGTCCTTGAGCAAATGTGTCATGGGCAGACTTCTAATGCTGTGCCAGGCACTGAGTTAGCTCAGGTTTGGGACACTGACCCTGGGCACTAATCATCTGACCCAGGGCACCTGATCCTGTTCTGATGTTTGTTTGCTATGGCTACTGCAGCTCACTGGGACTTAGAAACTTTGGTAGAGGTCATGGAAATAGGAATGGGAGAAGCTGGGACTTGAACTCTTCTTGGCTTCATGGTGACTCAAAATGCAGACCTCAAAGGGAATGAGACAGTTTATTTTTGAGCCCAATATGAGTGACCATAGCTTGGGAACACAGACTCAAGTTGTCCTGAATAACATGCTTCAAACAAGCCAACAGTTCAAGAAAGTTTTCACAATCATAAATCAAGGTACTATTCAAATATATAATATTAGAGGAAACATCAGGTATGTAGGCTATAACAAAGTCTCTGCTATCTACAGCATTATTCTATTTGGGCTTGATGGAAGAGAGTGGTCTGCTATGATTGCATCCAGAGACTGCACCGAATAGTAAAAAATATATTAGGTCAGAGCCAGGTGGTGATGGCACACACCTTTAATTCCAACACTTGGGAGGCAGAAGCAGATGGATCTCTTTGAGTTTGAAGCCAGCCTGGTCTACAAAGCAAGTTCCAGGATAGCTAGAGAAACTGTTACACACACACACACACACACACACACACACACACACACACACACACCCTGTCTGGGGGGGGGGGAGTATTAGGTCAGAAGTGGGCAATGATTGGCTATTAAGAAAACTAAAAGAAAGGCCAAGAAAAATTGGCTCTGGGTCTTCAACATTCCATTTCCCCAAGATTGTGAATCTTAATCAAGTGGCCTCGTAGAATCTTTGGCATAGATGTGTTTCTTTCCTAGGAATTTTAGTTCATACCACTCTCTTGTGAATGCTCCTGAACTTATGACCATGAGCAATCCATACCCCTAGGTCTGATTTCCCATTACTACTGTGATAGGACCTTGAGTTGGTCATTCTGCATGAGGCTTACATATATTCATGAGGGTGGTAGCATATTCATAAGTGGGTGATGCTTTTTTCTCTCAAATGAGAAGGCAGATCAGATATTCCTTTTAGGGTATTTTCCCCATGATCCTTCTGTTTAAAAAAAAAAAAACCATAAATTGGGGGAAAGTGGTCAAAACTACAATTCCAATGTCATTGTAACCAAGCCAGATCTCTTGAGGATGCAGACATTCTACAGGGTGCATGACTAGGATGACCCCACTAGAACATGAGTTTTTTTTTAAAAAAAAAAAAAACTCTGTTTGTTTGTTTTTATGTATGAGTGCTCTGTCTGCAGGTACATGTGCAGGCCAGGAGAGGGGATCAGATCCTATTACAGATGGTTGTGAGCCACCATGTGGTTGTTGGGAATTGAACTCAGGACCTCCAGAAGAGCAGCCAGTGCCCTTCACTGCTGGACCATCTCTCCAGCATGAGCCTGAGTTTTTGATACAATAGGAAGAAAAGTGCTTAACAGGAATGGGGTATTTAAAGACAGCTGCAGTTTCCTTGGTGTATTCCGTTAGCTTCTTTGTTGCTATGATAAAACAATGGCCAAATCAACTAGGGAAGGAAAGAATTTACTTGGCTTACACTTCCACATCACAATCCATGGTTTAGGGAAGCCAGGGCAAGAGCTCAAGGCAGGAACTGAGGCAGAATCTCAGAGAAACACTGTTTACAGGCTTGCTCCCCATCCATAGCTCAGCTTTCCTTCTTATATAACTCAGCACCACCTGCCCAAAGATGGCCTTCCCACATCCATCATTAGTCAATAATATGCTCCAGAGACATATTCACAGACCAGTCTAATGGAGGTGATTGCTTACTTGACTTCCCTCCTCCTATACGACTCTAGTTTGTGTCCGGTTGCCAAAAGATAACCAGCACACTTGGTTACCACATGTCTAAGTCTTTGCCTAAACAATTTCAGTGCTAGTGACAAGCCACTGCCTTGAACATGAAATGTACAGACACATACATTCTTGTTACATCATCTAAATAGAGCCAGGGGGATCTGGGAGAAGCTCCAATCACCAACTATTCCTGGAGCTGCTGTCATAACGTGATTAAACAACCTACTTTCATTTTTAAATTAAAAAAATATTTATTTATATTTTATGTATGAGTGCACTGAAGTCTGCCAGCAGGCCAGAAGAGGGTACCAGATCTAGTCACAGATGGTTGTGAACCACTATGTGGTTGCTGGGAATTGTAACTCAGGACCTCTGGAAGAGTAGCCAGTGCTCCTAACCACTGAGCCTAACATACCTCCCTTTTAACGTTGTCTTTCCTCCTAAACACCTGTCCACAAGAACTTCAGATGATAGCTGTAAGGTATGCTACAAAGGGCTGCAGACATGGCTCAGTGGATACAAGTGTCCATCCCATTATTCCAGCTGATGAAACCAAACCAGTGCTGGCAACAGGAAGGAGCCACCATAAAGGGGTCATGATCCCCAAGTCCATCTTTGGGGTACTGACATTAGCTTTGGTTTACTAGAGGGGGGAGTAGAGGAGGGCAAGGGAGTTGCATGATTAAACAGTCTTGGTCATACTGTGATCTGGTTGTTCACTGTCTTAGTTCTGGTCCTTCAAGGTGATGTCTAAGAAGCCCTAATTGCTTGAGGGGTCAAGCTGGTTATCTATCCGGAGGTGACTATTCCTTCTTAGGGGACAGAGCAACTGTCTGCCAACCTCTGTTGCTTTTTATCTCTTGGGAGCCCCTCTCACTCTCCAGACCTTCGCTCCTGTTTCCTTAATATCTCTTAATAAACCTTTCTCAATTGCTGTTCTATCGCTATGATGAAATACCACGAACATAAGCAACTTGGGGAAGGAAGGGTTCCATAGAACAGTTCATCATCGAAAGCAGTCAGGACAGAACTCAAGCAAGGCAGGAGCCTGGAGACAGGAGCTGATGGAGAGGCTATGGAGGGGTGATGCTTACGGGCTTGCTCCTCATGGCTCACTTTGCTTGCTTTATTACAGAGCCCAGGGCCATCTGCACAAGAATGGAAGTCCCCCTTCCGCCCCCCCCACACAAAAGGAGCTGGGCTCTCTTCCATCAATCACTAATTAAGAAATGCCGTATAGTCCTGCTTCCTACAGTGTACTGTTATGGAGGTAATTTCCCTCCTCTCAGATGGCTCTAGCTTGTGTTAAGTTGACATAAAACTAGCCGACTCAAGCTTATATCCTGTTTTGTTTAGTTCTACGACTGTCCGGGTCTTTAGTGTGTCAACAAACTTGGGAGCCACTGTCCCACATTGATCTTTGGTGTCCCTCACCCTAGGTCCCTGGTTCATGCAAAGAAAGTACCCTCCCACTCAAAGCTCTCTTATCTCCATTGTGAATCGGGATTGTTTTGTTTCCTCTGAGCCAGGCTCTCACGGGCTGAAGATCTTGAACTTCTGACTTTCTTGACTCCATCTCCCAAGTGCTGGGGTGACAGGTGTGCGCCATGGCGACTGGTTTGTGAGATTCTGAGGGTGGAATTCTAGGTCCCATGCATTGGTTGCTAGGCAAGCAATCTACCCTCTAAGTAAGCTACATCCTCAGTTCGCTCTCTCACTCTCTCAGGGATTTAAACGCCATTCCATAACAAATTCGACAGCTTGGATGCCATTTTAACGTATATAAGTGAACTAACCCTCAAAACCTGCCCTGTGGACACCCGCGCAGCTCTGAGGGAGAATCCACAGGACTCGGAAGGCCCTACTGAGGGCTGGCCGGGTTGTCGAGGGTCGGTGGCTGTAGCGCAGGAGCAACCCACGATCACTGCTGCCAGCGGCCCTAGTCAAGGAACTTGGCTGCACTTGAGGCCACCGACTCGGTCCACGACGATTTGCGGTCATCCCCAGAGCCCCTCGGGGTCCCAGGTCTCTCTGTGTCCCCAATGGATCTATGTCGAGCAGAGCAGGTGAGCCTCAGAACCTGCCTGAGAATCCAGCAGCTCCTTCGCTGCGCAAGCGCTCTAGCTAGCAGAGTATAGCCCAGCCTTGCAGTTTACTGAGCAGGCGCGCCGGTCTGACGCTCCCGTTATACCCTCGTCCCGGCCGTTCCAACAGTGCGCAGGCGTACTAAGCCTCAGCAGCGCCCGGAGGCGGGCGTAGGGAGAGGGGGCGGAGCGAGCCGGAGCCTGCGGCTGCGCACTCGCAGGCCCTGCCCCTCGGGTTTGCTTACGGAGCCTCGGCGCTAGGCTGTGGAAATATCCTAGTTCAGCGTCGAAGTTGAGTCTTCCGAGGTGCTGGCTGTGGATGCCACCGACGCACCATGGCGTCTGCTGCTCTCGGGCTGACGCCGCGCTGGGTGATGCTCTTCGGTGCCGCGCTGCTGCTGCTTCTGTCCGTGGCCTCCGCGCAGGAGCCTTCGGGAATGGGTGAGGCCCGGGTGGGGGACCAGGGAACCTGAGGGTCCGGGAGGACGGCAGCTGGGTCGGATCCAGGGCGGAGCCCAGCCCGCGGGCTTCGCCTCCTCTGTGCTCACGCCCTCCCTTGGAGCTGCGGGTGCGGCTGCCACTACCTAAGTTACGTCGTGCCCTAAGGCACGAAAGACAGGCCCAGTCGGAACCAAAGTCTTGACACCTGTTTAGCAGTCGGCTGATTTGGGGTTCCACTGGCGAGCATCTGTATTCCTGCCTGTATTAGGGGCCGCCACTATGAAAATGCAAAATGCCTGACTCTAGCATAGTACTGTTTCTTTTGGGGGAAATCGGGGAGCTGGCAGATTGTGTCAAGGCCAGGAGCTGAGAGGTTGGCTTGGTCAGCTTTCTGACCTTTGCAGCGAGGGCTGATGGGGCCCAGCTAGAGGGAGACTATTTTCCTCAACCGTGTTAGCTCAGGTTCTCTCAAGGTGTCTTTACACTCTAGCCTGGCACAGTGTATTTTCTCTTTGTGACCTTTTGCGTGTTGTCGCAGCTCTGTTTAAAGTTTCTTATCTGCTCTCAGGTGTGCCTGGGGTCTGTGACAGCCGCTTTCCAGGAAGTGTGCCTAAAGGAGCCATCCAGGAGATTTGGGGATGGGTTCCCCAGTGAGGATTTTACACCAGGCAGAATGCTGGAGAGCCTGTGGAGGCACAGGACCCCTTCCCAGTGGCTCAGGGGTGTCTGCCGCATTAGTGGAATGCTCTGATTAGAACAGCAACCACATTCTCCATGTCTTACCACAGAGTATGTGCTAGGTGTGAGATTTCTACTGGCTAACAGCTATAAGAAGATGACTGATGTTTAAAATAATTTTTCTTTACAAGGATACTGCATAAATTTAAAGAGTACATCACAGTGGCCCCAAACTCCCCTTTTTATTATTGAGACAGAGTCTCACTATATAGACCAGACTGGCCTTGAACTCAGGTATTTGCTTGCCTGTGCCTCCCAAGTGCTGAGATCAAAGGTGTGTACCACCATGCCTGGCAAGACTCATCTTTTAAAATATTTTTTGTGTGCTTCCGTTGGTGGGTGGACATCTGAACCTGTAATGGATTAAAGATCCTGAGAGTGAAATTCATGAAGTTGAGGACACTTTGGTAGGGCTTTTGGACCTTCCCTAATGATGCGTGGAGTCACTATCTCAGAGCTTCGTCTTGGTGGAAAACAGTCCCTGGAATGACTGCAGTTTCATCCTCCACAGGAATACTCAGGCACAGTGCTGGCTGGTGCAGGTCACCAGTTGGTGAGTCCTTACTTCACAACACAGTTTGCAGAAGAATCTGCTGTTCCCCTCTTTCCCCTCTCTCTCTCCCTGATATACTGTTCTGAATGCTGCTGAATGCATCCTTCTGTGGTGCCCTGCCCCTCCTCTCCGCCTCTCCTCCTCTCCTCGAACAGCAAGGTAGCCAGGACAGTGGAGGTAGGTGCTCTCTGAGTTCTGTCACCAGAGTGGACACTAACCCTTTCCAAGTTTAGTCTTCTCAGGGTCACAGAAGACAGTAGCCTGAGGCCTTCTGTTTCATGGGTTTATGATAAATAATGTTTGTTTCCTTAGTTTTCAAAGTTACCCCCTTCCCACATGTAGGTGTGTCCCTTTGTCCTGGATGCCTTCATTGACTCACCTGAAACGTCAGGGACCCACTCAGAGATGAGTCATATTTATTATCTTTCCATTTAATTATTAAAGTTAGTGACTCTGAAAGTTCTTTAAAAATGAGTAAATAGCACCTACACTGAGCTCTTAATCCTAAGGCCTTGGAGTCAGGGTGTTCAAGATCAGCACTGAGGAGCTGCAAGGACATTGTTCTTATCTCCATCAAGCATGTGGTTGGATGTGTCTTGTGATGGGGTAAGAGATACTTCGTGTGGCCTCCTGAAATGTGAACTGTGGGGCAACAAGTTGTCAGTGTTTCCTTCCTTGCCACAGGAATCTGGGAGTTCCTGCAGCCAGGATGCCTACCACTCATGCTTTCTGATATACAAGATCCTCCCTACAGTTGGCCTGTGGAGGAGGAGGGCTTGCCTCTGGGGATTTAGATTTCTTAGTGGTAGAGAGGCCCAGGGTGACCAGAACTCAGGATGTGTTTCTTGGAGCTCAGTTCTTTTGGTTTTCGAAAGTGCAGTTACCAAAATATCCCATAACAGAAGTCCGGACATCGTCATTGCTGGGGCCACTGTGTCACCTGATAGGAAGCAAGGCCATCCTTTCTAGTGGATGACTTTGAAAAAGAGCTGGAGAGTGGGTGTGTTTGACACCCTCAGCTGTCACCTAATGAGAGCCATCTCCATGCAGGATATAAGAGAGCTGAGGGGCGGTCCAGTGAGCTCATGGATGGTACAGCTGTCCTGAGTGACTGTATACTTGCTGGACCACTCCCTCCCTCTCTGTGCTTGCTGGTGTCTTTCTTATTGTAAAATAGCTGGTAATGTGAACATTTTATTGCAAATTATAATCTTACAGCTTGTTACTAATTTGACAAGATCATGGAAGTGGTTGTTGTGGTGTCTTGTAACCCTGAATTCTTCAGAAGCAGTTCTTCCAAAGAGGAGGGTATTCTCTGCTCAACTAGAACATAGTTGCCAAAGCTGGGTGTTAAAATGGAACTCAAATGTTTGGTTTACTATACAGTTCACACACAGATTTACCATTTTGTCTAGTGAGGTGCTTTTCTGTTTGACCTCTGAAACCTAGAGTCATCTTAAGTAGTTTCAACTTTTGATATTTCTGATCTCTTTAGTCTCCTATAAGCTCTTCAGTCCATCTTGTCTTCAGAAAGCCAGTTTGTTGAAGACTCCAGTTTAGTGTTGCCCTTTCTTTTTCTTTTTTCTTCAAGACATAGTTTGAACTATATAGCACTGGCTGCTCTGGAACTCGCTCTGTAGACTAGGCTGGCCTTGAACTCACAGATATTCACCTGCCTCTGGGATTAAAGGCATTTGCCACTGTGCCCTACTTGGTCTTGCCCTTCCTGGTCTTTGTGGATGGACAGAGCTGGGAGCAAGTGTGTAGTAGTGCCTGGCTGTCCCTCAGGTCTGCCCCAAGAGGGAGGAAAGGGGTGCAGCCTTTCTTGAGTGTACCTCCAGGTCAGTGGCAGACCTCCAGAGCCCAAATATTGTCTTGGTTTCCCTTTGTCTTTTTGAGGCAAGATCTCTGTGTAACCCAGGCTGACCTGGATCTCTGGAACCCCAGGCCTTGACCTTCAAGTGCTTGCGGGTATGCTCCACACCAATTTTTCTTTTGAGATAAAATTTTCCTCCTGTGAAATTGGAAAGCTTCAGTGTACCTCTGGATAAGCTTCCTCATATAACCTGGCTGCAGTAGATGCAGACTGCACCTAGCAAGCTAGTGAGCCAAGCATCTTCCCTCCAGTGTGGCCCCAGAAGCACTTGTTCTCACCCTGGGCGGGCAAGTTCCAGCTGTAGAACTGCTTGGCTTTGAAAGGTGACTTTTGGTATAGGCTTCTTTCAGCCTACACAGTGTTGTTCACTCTCGTTTATTTTACTTGATGTTGCTCCACTGTGTAGATACTCCAGTCTATCTGTCCATCCTTCTAGAAGTGAACGTCTGGGCTGGTTCCAGTTGGGTCATTATGGATAGAGTTGTGGTGAGCATGCCTACACAGGGCTTTCTGGGTGTGTCTTCTGATGTCTTGAATAAGATACCTCTAATGTGCTTGCTAGCCAGAGGAGTGGCCATTTCTGAAAATGGCTGAGCCAACTCCAATTGTGCATTCTTGTTTTTGTGTGTCCCTGGTTATCTCAGTAAGTCTAGCCTTTCTTATGCATGCATTTCCTTGCAGTTTTAATTTGCATTTCCCTGGCAATGAGTGGCTTGAGTGCAGTGCTCTTTTCAAAGTGCGCTTGTTTTAGGGGATGGTGGTGAGACGTAGTGGGCCCAAATTGGCTAGCATGAGAAACAGTTGCTTTATATGCTGCTTCTGTCCATTTGATTCTCTGGAGTTCCAGGGCTGATAGCTAGATAGACTTTGACCCTTTCCTGAAAACAGTACTGTGGGTGCTGGCAATGTGTCCCAGGTGCTTTGCATGACTGACTAGAGCAGGCCCATACCACCTGGCTTCTTGGGTTTGGGGGGGGGGCATAGCTCTGTCTTGGAATCTTGAGATCTAGAGGTAAGTTTGCAAGTTTGGCTTTGCCTCTAGGCATGTCATCTTATGGCTGTGACCTCCTGCTCACTGAGCATGCTGATGGCAGTAGGCCTCAGCAGGTTATTGGCTGCACAGTTTAATGGTTTACCAATAGAGAACTATAAAACATGGCTGCTTGTGTTTGGAACCTTCCTTCCCAGAAGGCTCCTTGCAGGTAGAGCTGTCTGTAGTGGCTCTTCTAGTGACTTGCTTGCAGCAGGAATAAGTTGGGTGCTTTGAAGCCCGCCAGTGCCAGCAGAGTCTTGATCATTCCTTGTGGAGATTCACAGCATCAGTGTCTTCTCTGCCCTTCAGTGATGGATACCTTTGTCTCCCCTGGCAGGCTGTTCTCTGTACACAAACAGATCCTGTGAAGAGTGCCTCAGGAATGTCTCGGTAAGTAGTGCTGTTCAGACCCGTGCCCTCTAGTCCCAGGTGGCATGTGTGTTTGAAGCACCCTGTCATTTGGAAATTGTTGGGTGCTTTACATGATGGTTGTTAAATACTAGTCCAGCTTTTCTCAGGCATATGAAACCTTCTCACAAAAGGCGCAGGCACCATCCAGCACAGCCAGTCTCCATGACTTGGGTAGGCAGCATGGAGGAGACACCCTTCCTGAAGCTGCTTGGGACAGCTGGACAACAGCATCTAATGTGTTGGCATTAGATGACTAGAACTGCATGCCTTTGACTGACTAGGTCTTCCCTCAAGGGTCACCCAGCCTTCAAGACTTGTCGGGGCTTGAGACAGCAGCTTGTATATACAGTGGCAAGTACTTGACAGGCAAGTACAGGGTTTGAATGCACATTCAGGAGTGCCAGCATTCTTCCTCCTTCATGTGCATAGTGCTGTGAGGTCGTCTCTGGTCCGTGAGAAGGCTCCGAGCCATGTGATCTACTGGGAAGACTGAGCCAGCATGTTTGACCCTTGTCCCGTTCTTTATTTCCTTTTGTGCCCTCGAATCAGAAGGTAGCTGCTATCCTGGAGCAGAATTTCCTAATCTTCACTCTTAGAAGTGTGCCTAGGACTCACAAGGGTACCTTCTGATGGCTCATCCTGGGTTTTGATGGAAGAGACTAGGAGAAGCAGACAAGCAGTGGGAAGATAGCTCCGTAGCAGAGATCTCTAGATGTCGTGTGAGGACACTCAGCTTCCCCAGTGTGGTGGTCTGTTCTTTGACCAGCCCCAAAGGCTCCTCCTCTGTGTTGCTCCTTGAGGCGAAGGAGTATGCTTGGCCATGTTTAGCCCAGTGCTGTGCAGTTTGCCTTGAGAACCCATAGGGAGGAACAGAGGTGCCATAGCAGTTGATCAGAGAACAGTCTTTAGAGGTTTCTCCTGGGTACTGGGTGGGTGGGGCTTCTTGGCATCCTAGGCCTGCAATTCTGTGTCCCTCCCTGACAGTGGGTTAAGGACAACACAAGTCAGGGTGGTGTTTCCTCTTGGCTTCCTCCACAGGACAATAGGAACATCTTAAAAAGCAACAGTACCTAAATAACCAAGAAAAATATTATGAAGAAAAAAAAAAAAACAACAGTAGCTTTTTAAAGTGACAGTAGTGTGGATCTGACACAAGTCTTATCACTTGGTGAGACTCAAGTGGGCAGTAGGACCAGCTGCTGTGCCTGCCTCAGTATCAGCATTGGTTGTGCTGAACCTACTATTTCAGGTGGTAGTGTTTCCTTGACTCTTTAGGTTCTAGTTTTTCCTGTAGGAGGCTATTTCAGCCATTAAAAAAAAAAAATGGATTATTGTTGTACTAGCCTTATAGATAGCCTCATTGCCCTGGGTTGTGTGCATTGAGGACAGAGTCCAGAGAGGAACCTGTCTGGGTCACAGTGGGTTGGTCTAGTCAGGCAGAGCCTGAGGCCTGACCCTGCTCTGAACCCAGACAGAAAGGCTTCGGTAAGGTAAGGTGGAGAAGGCCAGCCCAGGCCCGTTGCCTGCCTGGAGACAGAGTTCTGGGAAGAGATGGGATCCTGTAGGCCTTCAGAGGACCAGTCGGTTAGAGAGAGGCCGTGCTTGCTGATCCTTAATGCTGCTGAGTTGTTGACTGGCCTCTTACTTTAGTTAAAAAGAACAGAACAACACACATTGCGAGTGCTGTGTTCTCATTGGAGCTCAGAAGATTAGACCTGTGACTTGGCCCCTTTTTAAAGTTTAGGAGTAACCAGAGGTAATGCAGGACAGAGCCATTGGGATGGGAGATTTTTTAGTAGCAGGATCTGCAGGGCTCTGTGCTGTTAGCCACGCAGTACCGGGAGCCATTGTGAAGACACAGGGGTCACTGTGCAGGGGCCAGCACACGTTGTAATGTTCTTGTCATAGATGTTACTTCAAACTGAGACCCAAAACTGGTCTTTAATCTTGTTGAAGAGCCAGTGACATGCTTACTCTGAAGATGTATGATCAGAGAGATGTCATCTTGGCTCTGGCAGAGTCAGCACCCTTTACAGAGTAATTCTTTTTCCCTGTGATGTGGGGAGTCTTCCCAAGGACACCTTCCTAGGTCAGCTGTGTTGTGTGTGGGATGTCCTCAGCTCTGTCTAGCACTGTGTGGTGGGTATGGTGGGTCCTGCGCTGAGTTTTGACATGTGTTGGTGTGACAGTACTGTCTCCTCACTTCCATTCCCACCCTGACATTTGAGGGGCTTAGATAGGAGACCCCTGGAGGTTCCTCTGCTACTCTCATCCTTGGTTGCATCATCCTTCAAAACCTGACACTTAGTGCAGTGTAAAGATGGAGTCACAGGGCTTCCTATAGTAGTGACTCTCCTGTGCCCCATCATCTGTTCAGCAAATACCTAAGGAGCACCTCCCCATTGGATGCTGAGGTTCCCCTGTCCTGTGTCTCTGCGTGCCACAGTTATCTGGCTTCCTGCACCGTGTGGGAAATGAACTGTGCAGTATGAGGAGGCATGCTGTGGGAGGAAGCAGCAGTATTATTGGTCAGGGAACAGGGGCCTGGGTGGTTGGTGGAATGGCAAGCTTCCTTGAGGATATGAGGGAACCATCTCAGGCTTGAGGAAGAGGGCTCTAGAGAAGATAAGCAGGCTTCAAAGGCCCCGAGAGCAGGGCAGCTTTCAGGATGGTATGTCTCTGTAGGGTGGACAGGGATGCCAGCCACTGTGTTGGACTTTGGCCAAAGGACAATAAGGATGAGTTAGGAATATTTGGAGGATGCATTCCTAGATTCATCCATCCTAGAGAGATCACGGTGGCGTGGGTGGCATTGGAGACAGGGAAGTGGTCTTGTCCTGGTCTGTTGAGGGGTCTTCTGATGCTGGTCTCTTTCAGTGCCTGTGGTGCAATGAGAACAAGGCGTGCTTGGACTACCCAGTGAGAAAAATCTTGCCCCCTGCTTCTCTTTGTAAATTGAGTTCTGCTCGCTGGGGCGTATGCTGGGGTAAGTTGTTTTCATTTACTTCTTGCAAAATCTGTGGGTTTTGGTGATTCTGGGACTTGTGCTCAATCAGCATAAGTTACTAGGAAGTAGCAAGCAGTCCTGTGATGGTCTGCTGTTTGGCAAGCAGCCAGGGACCTGGCGTGCTCCTGCAGAATCATTAACCATGGCACCTACCACATAGCCCACATCATGGAAGGTGGGGAAAGGGCACGTGTAAAAACCTGTTTTATGTTCCTGTGTATGCTGTGTCACCTGGGAGCAGCCAGTAATCCTCAACCAAGGACTCTGTTAGCCCAGGTGTGTGTGTGTGTCAGTCATTTTCTCCTAGGAAGGAAATTAGGCCTATGTGGTTCGACTTGCCCTTAAAGTACATTTGTACTGTATTTTGCTGCCTGGAAACTCATTTTCCTGTAGGGAGCTGTTTATCTTTGGTGATGTTAGGTTTGGGGCTGCACAGGCCTCTTCCGGTCTGGTGAAGCAGCTGTGTGGTTGTCACTGTTGTCTAGGAACCATGGTATCTGTCCTGGCACAGGAAAACCTCTGAGGTCTCACTCAGCACTGCCCACCACTGTCCCCTCCTGGTAGTGCTTCTTCCTGGACTGGGAGTGTTGGCTCTGGAGCACCAGTGGCCACTCAGGTATCCCTCATCAGTGTGTGAATTCTATATTACCTTATGATCTGTGGATTCCCAGAGGAACAAGGAGGAAAGTTGTAGAGCTTCTGGAAGGTCCTGTCTCCCCCTCCCATCCTGAGGTGGCCTTCCTGGAAGGAAGTGCTGCTTTTCACCTCCTCTCCTGTAAGACTGCCCAGCCTTAATGTTTTACCCTGCATACCGCAGTGTCACTTCATCCATTTGCATCCTTCCAAGCATTGGAACATCTGTCTGTTTCAGGTCCTTTTAGCATAGTGGGCGTTTACTTGTTTACTTTGACTCATTGGGTGGTGTGTAGAGAATTGTGAGCTGTCAATTTGACTCTGATGACTGAGGGTGTCAGCTGTGTCAGGTGGTGGGTGCTCTTGGTAATTGTCTTGTGCAATGCAGTTCCCACCCAGGTTACGGGATGGCTGCACAGCACCCCCAGTGCAGGACAGGTGAAGTGCTGTAGCTCATCAGTGTGTGTCATCACCATGTGCTGCCAGCAGAGTAGGCTGGCACCTGTGGGAGGCAGCCTTGTACTGGCAGCAGAGCAGATTTGGGTGTGATTCCCAGTGAGCACACCGTTGGTTACTTCTGAGGGACATCCCTTGGGAACACAAGCATTTGGGCCTGGTCTTGTGATAAGGGGGTTGCTGGACAGGGTTCATAATCCCCTGAGCAGAGTAGCACTTGAGGTTGGGCCTCTTAGCCTCCTGGTGTCACCATAGGTCCGGTTGGCTTGTCATGATTGTATGTCTGCACCATGGACAGTCAATTCTTACAAATAACTTTAGCATCATTGTTTTACTAGAATTGCTATAATTTTTATTCAGGGTTTTAATTAATATGACTTAAAGTCTTACATTTGCAGAAAAATAATGTTTACATGTTGATCATTTGTGTTGAGGGAGGTGTCACTCATTCCCGTCAGGCCATATTAACCCAAGTGGAAGTTGTTGTGTTTCCCTGTAGGGTTAACAGAGGAGCCCACAGAACACTTTCTGTTTCTATCTGGAACAGATAGAAGCTGTGGGAGTAGATTGACTTTAATTAGACCCAGCTGTCTTAGTGTTCTCATTTCTAGGTTCAGTTTTACAGAATTCTGTAGTCAAACTGTATCACCTACTGATGGGGATGACAGCCTCTTTTCCAACCACACAAGTTGCTCTTTTTTGCACCTCTGCACTTTAAGGCTAGGCCCGTGTAGACAGAGCACAGTCTTTGGAACTCAAAGGCACCTGAGCAGTTGGAGCGCCCATTTCTGATTTTAACATGCTTAGTGCCTGAAAAGGAGTCTGATAAATGAACACAGTCCCCTGTGCTGAGGCTGACTGAGGGAGCCCAGGAGCTGGCCCTCAGCTCTCCCTCCTTCTGTTGCCCAGCTGCACAGATGCCCCACTGGCCCAGCAGAACCTGAAGCTGACAGATGGACAGCTGGACTTTTACAACTTCCCTTAACACATCTCGGGCTGTCAGCATCCCTGTGGCTAGGGACTTTTTTTTGCTTGTTAAGTGCTTTGGTGGAGAGTTGACTGGGTGACTGGGATATGCTGGCAAAAGCAGGGCCGGGCCCCTGAACTGGCTCTGGTTTGAGTGGAAGCCTTGGCTGGTTTTAGTTTTATTTTCCTGTTTTTTTTTTTTTTTTTTTTTTTGAGACAAGGTTTCTCTGTGTAGTTCTGGAACTCCCTCTGTAGACCAGACTTCGAACTCAGTGATCTACCTGCCTCTGCCTTGAGTGCTGGAATTAAAGGTGTGCACTAGCAAACCTAGCCCGACTTCTTTGAATGGTTTCTATTTAAAGGTCTTCAAGAAAAATTCAGAAGAACCTTAAAATTTATTTTCAGTTTGTATCTGTTCCTTCCTGGAGGTTGGCTGTACCAGCACGTCACATCACTGAGTGACACTGGTCAGCCATTTTCAAATACCAAGGCTTCTATAATGCTCATAGGTGGTCAGGGTGCTTCCCCTTCTATAGGTGGCACTCAGGAGTCAGGAGGGCTTGGGAACAGACACAGGTGACATCGTCCCTTCTTTCCGTCGTAAGTGGGGAAAAGGGCTGTCTTTCTCATTTAGTTTGTTGTGGTTTACCTGGAAATTTTAAGTTGTAGGCATTGGCTGAAAGGAGCCATGTGCTGGGCTGCTTTAGGACTGCTCCTGTGGTCTGTAACAAGAAGTGGTACCCTTGGGGGTGGAGGCAGGTCATATGTGCCGAGGTTTCAACTTTGTCCCTGGTCTTCCAGTGAACTTTGAGGCCCTGATCATCACCATGTCAGTGCTTGGGGGCTCTGTGCTCCTGGGTATCACCGTGTGCTGCTGCTGCTGCTGCCGCCGGCGGAACAAGAGCCGGAAACCAGACAGGAGCGATGAGCGGGCCATCAGAGAGCAGGAGGAAAGGAGAGTGCGGCAGGAGGAGAGGTGAGGCTGGGCCCTTTGCTCAGGTGCTTGCCTCTGAACGTGCAGCATGGAGGCCATGGCAAACAAGAGTGAAAGTCACACTCTTTCTCCATTTCTAAAAATGGAGCATGTGCTTGTTGTCCAACATTTTCTGGGCTATAGTTAAGAGAAAAGATGACGGGAGTCTCATAGGGGTCACTGGCTGTGTCTCAGCCCTCAGGCTGCCTGGCATACCTCTTTCACTAGTAGAGGAGGCTGGCAGAGCCTGTGTGTGCTACAGTGCTCCTGCCCTGGCCATGGCCTATCCTTGAGTACTGCTGTCCCAGCCCCAGCCCTTAATGGTGAAGTAACCTGACTGCTGTTATAGACACTGGTTTGTGCCCACTAGTTCCTGGAGTACTGAATTGTCTTAATGTGTGCTGAGGCCTTGTGCAGCCCTTGGAAGCATGCCCTCAGCTCTGAATTGGGTACCACTAAGCAAATGTTAACAGTTGTCTTATCCTGGTCACCTGATGCAAGGCTTTCACCATCTGCATTTTTTTATGAGAACTTTAAAAGAACTTTAAAAGACATTTGAACTCGTTTTCTGGTTTTTTTCTTTTTGGGGGAGGGTCTCACTCCATAGCCCAACCTGGCCTTGAACTCTGCATACTCCTGTCTCAGTCTCCTGGGTGCTGGGATAACAGGAGGTTACCACCATGTCCAGTTAGACTTGGGAAAGAATAGAATGGCCATCAGAACAGCTTCAGAAGACTAGCTTTGCAGCACCGTGCTGGCAAGTGGTGATGTGGCCTAGTGGCCACAGTCATCCCCACTTTTCTTTTGGGAATGCTTGTAGAAAGTGTCGCAAAAGCCTAGGGGCTAGGGCCTCTGCCCCAGGAAATGAAAGGCCTGGGAGTTCGAGATGACCTTGTTTGTCTGTTGTAATTTGATGCAACTTGGTTTTTCTGTATTTTTTAGGAGAGCAGAGATGAAGTCAAGACATGATGAAATCAGGAAAAAATATGGTAAGAATGAGAAGTGTCTGTCTTGACTGGTTAGGATTTTGCAGCTGCTGCTTTTCCAGAGAACTGTCCTCCACTGAAGACAGCGGTTGTGCAGTTCCCAGAGTGTCACCAAAGACTGAGTACACCCAGTGCCTCAAAGGAGGAAGGCTCAGAAGGGTTTTCATCTCAACCACACTTTTTCTTTGGTACTCATGAAGACTAAAAACTTCAGGAGGGTTGTCCATAGCTCTTTGTCCAGTTGCCTTAAAGTAGGATCTGCCTGTGTAACTGGCCTCGGTTCTGTGAGTTTCTGGGCCATGTCTGCAGCCCTTCCCCTTTGTGCGTGTCTCTTCCTGCTGTCTCTCTGGAGTCAGACACCCTCCTTTATCAGAGAACTGACTGAGACTGAGGCAAGCCACTTGCCGCTTCCTGGCTGTGCCATCTTGTTTGGAGAGAGTCTGGAGATTGGCTGTGAAGGAGCTAACCTGATCACAGGTGCCAAGTGTAAGCCTGTTTGGTTAAGTTGGGGTGAGTCAGAGACCCAGTGTGATGGATAGTCCCTGTCCCCAGTGTTACACACTACTCTGTCTTCCTGTCTTGGTTGGTTGCTGTTCCCAGTTGGTTATGATCTGGTTTTAAAGCTCAGAAGGGCACTAGAATTTTCTGCCTGGACTTTATAGCCACAGAGGTTGGGTGTTGCAGAAGATGACCCCTCAACCACCTAAACATGGGGTTGGAGGGCTGCATGTAGGCTTCAGTTGTGAACCCACATTTTTGGCCTTGAACCACTATTTTTTTGGGGGGGGTAGTAGAGGGGTTCAAGACAGGGTTTCTCTGTGTAGCCCTGGCTGTCCAGGAACTCACTCTGTAGACCAGGCTGGCCTCAAACTCACAGAGATCTGCCTCTGTCTCCTGAGTGCTGCCCAACTTGAATCATTACCTTAACAGGAGAAAACTAATGAAGAAAAATTTAAAATCTTTCCCAAAAATATGCATTAAAATTATTTAATTTTTATCCTTTTTTATTATTTCATTTATTTTAAGTATATGTGTGGGGCTGGAGAGATGGCTCAGTGGTTAAGAGCACTGACTGCTCTTCTGAAGGATCCAGGTTAAATTCCCAGTACCCATATGGCAGCCCACACTGCTTGTAATTCCACAGTCTAGCACCTGCATACATGCAGGCAAAACACAAATGCACTTAAAAATAAATAAATTTTACATGTGTGCACAAACACTCTATCATGCACATATAGAGGTCAGGGATTGACTTCTGGAAGCCAGTTCTCTCCTCCTGTCATGGGTCTTCAGGCTTGGTGGCAAGCATTTTACCTACTGAACTCCATTCTCACCAACTCCTAAGAAATGCAATTTTGGGTCACTTTTTATACAAGGAGATAGCATATATGTGATGCTTCGGTATCTTGCACACTGGGAACATTGTTATACTACTGTGTGTGTTAACTTTTCAGTGCTCAGACAAAATGCCTGAGTTTCTGTCCAGGGTCTGCTGCTATGGACCTGTGGTGAGGCAGAACATGGTGGAGGATAGCTGCTCACCTTATGACAGCCATGAAGGAGTGTGAAGAGATAGCATCCAGAAAAAGGAGGACATTTTAAGGACCTATGTCCTCCAGCTATGTCTATCTCCTGATATTGCTATCAGTTTAAGAATCCATGAATGGAAGCTGGGCATGGTAGTACGTGCTTCAATCCCAGCAGTAGAAACAGAAACAAGTAGATCTCTTAAGTTCCAGACCAGTCAAGGCTGTGAAGTGAGACCCTGTCTCAAAACAACAAACAAAAAGAAAAGAATCCATGAATGGATGAGACCCTTGATTAACGTGGCAGTATGACCCTGTCACAGAGCACACATCTGAACATTTGCTTCATTGACTAAAAGATGACTTCTTGTCCAAGTCACGACACCGGTTAGTTTCTGTTATTTGGGGAGATGATACAGCAAAGTCCACTTGCCTAGGCACAGCATGGCTTCTCTGGGCTTGAATTGTTCCCTTCCAGGGGCTGTGCAATCCCATCGCTGCTGGCATCAGGATCTGGTCACACCATGTGCTGGGAACTGAGGAGGCACTGTAGCCAAGGAGCCTTCTCCCTCAGACATCAGAGCTCCTGCCGCAGGCTCTGCATGCTGTGGCCTAGGCTTAGGTTTGGGCTTCTCTGATGACCCTGGCTAGCCCTTGTCTCCTTTCTATTGATTTCTATCCTGCTGTTTCAGCCTTGCTTCATCTTTATGTGTTCCCTGGGTTCTGGGTGAGTGTGGAACACAGAGATACTGATATCTACCTAACAAAGTCCTAGTAGGTAGGTTACTACACTGGCTCCAGACAGTCTTGTCATACAAGTATGATGTGGGGGTTGGGACAGTGAGGGGAGGATGAGATAAAGGGTGAGAGATGGCTGGGTGGTAGAAGAAAGATGAAAACAAATGAGGAGGTAGATATAAGGAAGAGAGCAGGTGGGTACCACAGATTGATGATTAAATCCATATTTTGCCTCAGGCCTACTGTAATACTTGGTTGTCAATTTAATGGTGTGTTGTTTTTATGTAGTCTTAATTTTCCAACACAGGCTGTGGAAAGAAACACATGCAGGGATTTCCCTGACCTCCTGTGATCTCAGCTGTGGCTGGTTTCTCAGGAACTATTGGGATTTCTGTTCCTGATGGATTTTACTTCAGTTTTAAAGTCACTGTGGCTCAGCCTCAGACAAGGTCAAGGATAGTGTGGGGACCTGCTTAGGACTGTGGTTAAATCTACATGTGAAACTTAGCTGATGCATACTGCTTTTGTTGCCAGAATGGAATGGGCAGTTTTCTTTCTTTTTGTCTTTTCCTTTATTTGATTTGGTGTTTTTGAGACATGGTCTCACTGTATAACTCTGGTTGGCCCGGAACTTCACTGGTAGACCTGGCTGACCTCTAACTCACAGGGGTCCTCCTGCCTTGGCTTTCCCAGTACTAGGAATACAGTATAAGCCAGAACACCCAAGGCAATCCATCGCCTTTGTGAATTTTGTTTCTAGTTGAGTGGGTGAAGTTGTAAGTCAAGTTGTTTTTTTCCCCTCCCTCAGGTCTGTTTAAAGAACAAAACCCATATGAGAAGTTCTAGAGCAATGGCACACACTTGCGGCAGATCCTGCGGTTCCAAAGTTTCCTGGGAGTGCCCTCCTCAGCATAGCCTGCGGAGACCTTACCACTACAGCCACCCATGACCTGAGTCATCCCTCCGGCCTCAGCACAGGCACCAGAGTGGCCTTGAGAGGACAATCCTGCTCTTGTTCCTTCTATCTCTGTATGTAATCACCTGAGACGTTAATCTTGTTGACACCCTTTTATGGGGGAGGAAATGTACTCGGTCCCCACACTCTACACAGCTGGTAGCCTGAGGTGCTGACTGGCTGCTGAGTGGCCTTGCTGCGAGATTCACATTGCAACAAATGAAGTTGTATTTACTCTGTTATGGCAAGGGTTGACCTGCCATCCTTGCTTTCCCAAGGCTGTGTGGTGACTCAAGCCTATTTCTGTGACATGTCATTGCTTTAGCTTTGGTGGCGTTGTGGAAGGCACAATCCCCATAGACAGTCTGGTACCCAGTTATATCCAGGAACACAGGAGCATAGAAAGTCACTCAGTCTTTAGTCCCTCAGGAAACAGTCTCACCAAAACATTTCATGAAAAGTCCAGGCCTCTTTTAGATGGCATTTTTCAGTGTCTTTAATAGACCAAGAATCTTCTCCCCCATGGGAAGTCTGAGTTATGAATTCAGTTTAAGTGCTGAGTCGTCTGCCTCAGTCTGCTTCTCCAGCTGTGGTGATGCATGGAGTCACATGTCCTCAGAAGGGCTTTTATGCAGATCTTAGACTTCTCCCCTCTACCTGTCAGGCTGCCCAGTTGTGTGTATCATGGAGGATGAACAACTTGTCCCCTGGCCAGCCCATTGTGGAAGCTGAGTGTGTAGGAAGCTAGGAGGACCACGCCTCATACTGTCAAACAGAAAACCTGCCTGAGCAGACACCACACCCACCTCATTCCTACCCTGCTTCCAGCCATGTCTCAGCTCACTGTATCTGACACATCATCATAGGCCCTTGGAAATCTTGTCAAGGGACACCAAGGTTCCCACGATTCTATCCACAGTGTACCTTTCTCTGGACTCCAGAGGTGTCACTAGTAAGCAGATTACAAGCTTGATGGTAGGGTAATGAGCAAAGATATCCTCCTGGGAAAGCAGCCACCAGCAGATGAGGTGGCCTTACGGCAGGCTCCTTCATGCCTGAACACCTCACCTAGCAGCTCAGTAACCTTTTCAACTCTGTCGATCTGTCCAGGGGATTAATATTTCTCCCCTCCAATTTTCACAAACTAAGGGAATGACCTTCACCACTCTGGAGACTCACCATTTTTCTGTCTCATTAGGCAATAACATAACATCTCATATTATAGCAGCCATTGAGACTTGCCTTTCTACCATCAGTTGATAAAGGAACCCACCTCACAGGCCCTGATGAACTTTGTATTAATATGTAGCATGTATACGTCATACCTGTTAGTTGCTGAGCTGATGTTAGAATGAGCAACTGCAGAGTATTTAAATCTCCAGTGTAGAAATGTAGTGGGTACTCACCGGACTGGTCTGTGCCATCCTCTGAGCAGCATAAAGAGCAGCCACAGACCTGCACCTGAAACCATGACACCCAGTGCCTTACTTTTTAACCACTTTCCAATAAAATGGTCGACTATGGCTTTGATTTCTTTTTCTGTGCTGCCTCAAGGGTGGGCTGGGGCTGTGAGCTTTCTAGGTAAGCTGAGTTCCTGGGCTTGCCGTGTGTGATGGGTACCATGTCCCACAGGGCCTGAGTAGGCCAGTCCTGGAGTGGTTAGCACTCCCTGCCTTTAGTGTAGAAAGGTCTCCTTGGTCACCTACCCTGTCCAATCCCACCTCACCATGCTCAGCATTCTGTTTTTGTCTTGGTACAGTGAAGTCAGAGGAAGTTAACTCTGCATGGCTATCAACTGACACTGGAACCCGGACACTTTCCCCTGCCGTGTAACACCTGGGCATCCTCCCCAGGCACCCTCCTCTGGCTTGTAGCACCTGGGCATCCTCCCCAGGTGTGTAGCACCTGGCTCCTTCAGCCCTGGAGTCTGAAGTGGAGAGGCTGGTGGTGCAATATGGATAAGGGGTGGGTGTCACTGAGCCTGCCTGTGACAGGCTGTTGGCTCCCACGGTCTTCAGCTCCAGGGTTTACACTGGCTGCTTGAACCAGTTGTCCATTGTGGTAGAGGAAAAAGAGACATGGGGCTGAGGATAGAAACTGACTCTGCTTTCGGGTTAACACTAGAGTAAGGGACATTGGCCTGAAAGTCAGGGAACCAGAACACAATGATCTAAAAGCTGCAGCAAAAAGGAAGCTGTCAACAGCCCGTTTGCCCAGGGTTGAGGCTGCAGTAAGAGTCTGCCCTCTTGAGGCATATATCTGGACTGCCCTGTTTCCAGGAAACACAAGCCCAGCCTGGGACAGGTACACCCATGGAAACTCCCAAGTGTCAACCTGCAAATAGCACCCTGCCCAGGCTGCAGACCATAATAAGTTGAGGACAGGTCACTGAGCAGGTGAGAGGGCACTCACCCAGGCTTGTCCTGAAACCACAGGCCTTGGTAGGTCACCCTGGGCAAATGTTAGCAATTGTCACCATGGTAACAGGCTAGGAAATTCTTAGGGAGTTCTAGGGGTCCAGTTGGTAAAAATGCTAGATGTGTCAAATCTTTATTCCACAGGAACTACTTGAGATGTAGGTCCAAGAACATTCTTGACTTGGGCTTTTAGATTCACTCTTGGAAAAATAGCACAGGGGCTCAGAGGTTAAGAGCACTGGCTGCTCTTCTAGAGGTCCTGAGTTCAATTCCCAGCAACCACATGGTGGCTCACAACCATCTGTAATGAGATCTGGTGCCCTCTTTTGGCCTGCAGGATGCATGCAGACAGAACACTGTATACATAATAAATAAATCTTAGAAAAAAGAAGATGAAGAAGAAAGAAAAATAGCATAATGTAGTTGGAATGAAGAAAGGTTTATTCAGCAGTTTCCTTTGTAGACAGGGGAGCATGCTGGGGTGGGAGCGGGTACATAAATGCCATGTGCTGTCAGCTGGCTATGTGTCAGGACCTCACCTGTCACCCTTAACCACCCCTCAGCGCCCCCAACCCCAAGAGGTATTCAAAGAGCAAGCAGTCTTGCACTGTGTAGGAGAGTCACGAGCTTTGAGTTCTGGTCCCACCTTCAGAACTTGGGAGGGAGGAGAGGCAGGATAGGCTCACAGCTGGGGCTCAGACAGGCTTGATCCAGGCTACCATTGTATCCTACTTCACTTCAGTGTTCTGGGAAAGGTGTCCCACAGACACCAGTGCCATCCACTGATGAGAGTGGGAAGATATGGGCAGCCGTGCAACCAGAGGAGAGAATCAGCAATGGGCTGCTCGGCATCAGTCAATAGTGTACCCCTGATAGGACCCACACCACAATAACCAGTGATGCCAGTATGACTCACCCAGCACTCTGTTCTGGCTCCTTGGGAGTAGCCATTGGATCTCAGCAGGCTAGCTCAGGTTCTCAGCCATTCTTGCCATTTCTTCTCTGCCTCCTGTCCCTACTCACACACTACAAATCTGGGAGACTTTCCACCCCAAAGAGTACTTCTGAGGCCTTGTCCCGGCATCTGCTTCCTTTGAACTATCTCAAGAAGTTATCCCCTGGGGAGCTGGTGAGACCGATCAACGGTTAAGAGCACTGGCTGTTCTTCCAAAGGTCCTGAGTTCAATTCCCAGCAACCACAAGGTGGCTCACAACCATCTGTAATGAGATCTGGTGTCCTCTTGCATGCAGATGCATGCAGACAGAACACTATACTTAATAAATAATCTTTAAAAAAAAAAAGTTACTTGATCCAGGTGTCTGAACCAAGGAGTGTGAAACTGCATTGAGATGGGGATTGTCATGGTTAGCTTTTATGCACCTCCTCTGAGTGGGTAAGAGACGGCCATGGCTGCACATCTGTCAGTGCAAAACAGTGCATGCACCAAGGAGAGTAAGGGACAGTTTATTCTCCAGATATGTGTGGCCATTGCCCAGGAGCATGGATTGAGTTTGCCCTGAAGGACATGTTTCATCTTGGAAGTGATTGTGTGAGTAGCCGCAGTTTTTCAGATACTACTAATGACATTCTTAACCTTTAAGGCTGGTAGAAGCCAGAGGTTTGCTAAATCAACACTTCCAAACATTTTCCATAATAGTCTCAAAGATGTTTGGGCATAAACAGCATGAATGCTAAAGGCTTGATGGTTTAGGCTCTGGACCCACCAAATTCCATTCGCCAGTCAGGAGGCTCTGCACAGACCTAGCTTCCTCAAGGAACATACGTGGGTAAGCACTTTTGCTGGATGAAATTGGACTTGGGATTGGAGCACTGAGCAGAACCAGTAGCCCTACACACTGCTGAATCTGATCTGAGTTTTCAAATGTGTCTGAAGTCATGAGAGTAGGGTATATTGTGCTGTGCATATGGGTTTGTTTGGGTATTGCAGGTTACACTACATTATAGTTGAAGTCTAGGTCTGCTGGCAGTTCCTTTGTCCAGAGAGCCATGGTGGACTAGGGCTATGCCCTTCACTTTGTCAAGGGCCTCCCTACCAACCATGGTCTTCCCTGGCACTACCCTGCCCTGATGGGGCATGTAGAAAACTCCCCATTACACTGCCCAGTTTTTCAGGCGAGTGAAACATACAGGTGGAGTATAGGTGGTACCTGCATGGCATGCTCAGCTCCCAGGACTTGTGTGCTCACATCAGTCCACAGCAGTCTTTTAGCAATGATCTGCTAATACTTTATGTCAAGTCTTATAGTCTGCTTTCATGGAAAGCCCCCTTTCCTTTTGTCCCCTCTCCTCCGTTCCCCTCCCCTCCTTCCCCCTTCTGTCTTTTCTTCCTCCCTCACTCCCCCCTCTTTCATCTGCCTAAGTAGTATGTGAGTGGCCTGTATTTGGGTTGCTGGCCAACCACTCTTTGAAGGAGGGTGGTGCTCTCTTGCATAGCCTGGGTAGGACCACCCAGTGTTTGCATCGTCTTGTCCCTGTCTGTAAACAGTGTGGATGGTAACCACTTCACATGCACATGCTGGGGAGCTGCGGTTCATGGCAACGCTGTGCAAACACCTTATGCTGTGACTTCCAGAGCTCCCTTACATCGTTTCTACAAACTAGTTAAATGAGTTGTTTGTTTGTACCATTGTGGTATCCCTAGTGGTTTGAAAGCTATTTCTAATTTTCTTGAGCTAATTTTTTTTTTTTTTTTGGCCAAACTCTTTTTCATTGAAACTGAACATTGACACCCCAAAGCACATTCATAACAAATACTTCTATGTATCTAAATGCCCATTAATTCTGTTAGCACCTGTCTAATACCTGTCTTGAACCAGGCAAGGGCTGTGGCTTGCTTCTTTCTGTGGCCTTCCCACTCCCCACTCTTCTGAAGGCTGCATGTGAATATCTGGGATGTCAATCTCAGGGATTGCACTATTTTTTTCAGTGTGCACCAGATGTTAAGCATTAAATATAAGTTTTCCTGGCTTCATTGCTTGCTATCTATTTTTGCCAGGAAATACATCACAAAACTTGCCCTTCTGTGTAAGAGTGATGACTTCAGGTTCTTTTGCAGTATGTAGCCTCCTCAACAACACACAGGTTCTTGCCTGATTTTCTCAGGCAGTAAATTGTTAATGGCGCACATGCACAAGAGTGTGTGTTGTGTGTGTGTGTGTGTGTGTGTGTGTATGATTATGGGTGTGCATATGCCATGATGATCAGAAGACAACTTTTGGGAGTAATTTCTTTCCTATCATCATAGGTTTTAGCGATCAAACTCTGGCTGTCAAGTTTGTGGGGCAAAAGCCTTTACTTGATAGACCATCATGGCCTTTTGATGACTCTTTTGCTGAGCATCTGTGGGTATTTGTGCTCCATGAGTATTTGGATTTCTAAAAATTACCAGAAACCTATCTGCTTTACCCTTCACCACTTCCCCACACCACAGGAACTTCAATTGCCCCTGCTTCGGGTAGGTATTGCACTGGTGTGAATTCTGCTTTTGTTTAGGATTCCTGACATGACTACTGTCTATGTCATTGTCACTCCCCTTCAAAAGTACCCTTTGTGGTGCTGGCTGTGTTTCTAGCTTCCCCTGCTGAAAAAATCCTGCCATCAGATTTCCTTTAGCATTGTCTTAGGACAGTGAATTCTTGCACCATCCTGAAGCAGCTCTACCCACTTTCATTGACAGAAGCCTTCTACATGGGCAGTTACTCTCAGCACTATGGGATGTTGCTCTCCATTGTTTGTGTTGAAAACTCAGATGGAAGTCCTTTGTTTCCTCTGGGTGCACAGTCTTGCCTTACATGTGAACAACGGACGGACACCCAAGCCATTCTGGGCAAAAGAAAACTGGAATGTGTGACTGCAGTACTCTTGGAGGCCAGAGGAGGGTGCCAGATCTCCTGGAGCTGGGGTAACAAGTACACCTGACTTGGGTGCTGAGAACCAAACTCATGTCCTTTGGAAAAACTGTGTTCTGTTAACTGCTGAGGCAGTCTCTCCATTGCCTTGATAGCTTGAGAACGAGTGGGTTTGAAAAGCACTCAAGGAGTGTGTTCCTTTTATCAGTTGTCCACTTTCCACCACAGTAGGTTTT